CTCTCTCTCTCTCTCTCTCTCTCTCTCTCTCTTTCTGGCACTTACTCTGATAACAATCCCAGACATCCCACCACTAAATACAGGATCTCTAATATGATTACCAACAGCCCACTATTTTGGCTATATGGCCACAATAAAATTGTGGTTAAAATATCATTAATACATATTGTGATACATTTCAAAAGTGTCTACTATGTTACCTTGATTGAATAAATATAATAATATAGAAGTATTTAAACCATTTTTACATATTAGTCTATTATGTTTTTAGTATTTTAAATAAAAGTTAATATTAGAAAATATAATTAAAAATAACAGCTTAAAACATTTTATAAAACCTTAATAATTAAACAAACAACCTTAAAATGTTTATTCATTTTAATAGGATTTTGCTAATACAAATGTATTAGTTAATGAAATGAAAATGATCAAAACTATTGCCCAAAAAATCATATCCAATATTTGTTCACTATTTTTTGTGGATTTTAGACTAAATGTACTCTATTGAGAATTTACGAGTTGGCAACACTAATCTTTAATGTAATTTTGAATCGCTGTCTGCATTTCACGTACGCTCACAACACTTTCATTTGCCACACAAACACACAACTCATTTATAAGTAAAATATCAATACTGTATGTATTATATAACTTACGACATTCTAATATATCTAGTTATATTATACATTTTAAAACAATTGTTTTAGTAAATTACTAAATAATATTACTATTAACAAGTAACTAATTAAAAGTTTATTAATTATATTAATTATAAGTTATTTAATACAGTTTAACAGGAAAGTCATGTCTAAAGGAGATCTACAGGACTGTATGGAATCGGAAAGCTGTTTCCGGGGCGTAAAGATCACCTTGATCATATTGCACTCGTTGTCCATCATATTCCTGATAATCGGCGCCATTTTGGTCACTATTCTTCTAACGGCAGCGTCGGCACAGGTTGATAAAAATACGGCCTCCACTACATACACCGGCAATCGAGCTAGCTC